CAGCCCAAAGAGGACCTCCAGCTGAGCCTCGGCAACGCCCTGTTCATCAAGCCCACCGTGCATATCCAGGATACCTTCCTGAGCGCTATGAGGATGCTGTACCTGGCCGACACTTTTCCCACCAACTTTGAGGACCCTCAAGGGGCCCAGAAGCAGATCAACGATTACGTGGCAAAGCAAACTAAAGGCAAGATTGTGGACTTGGTTAAGGACCTCGACAGCAACGAAATCATGGTCATGGTGAACTACATTTTCTTTAAAGGTAAGACACTTGGGCTTAAACCTGAACTTTCTGTTTCTTTTCAGCTGCTTTTGTTAAAAGAATACTCAATTCCCACACACATAATGGAGTAGAAGTAGTCTTTTCTGGTGCCTCTGTGGGTAGGGTGAAGCCAACAAGCAGCCATGGGTGAGATGGCGCCTTCTTACTGTGTAAGGTGATATTAATAGTTTCTTCCAATGGGGAAGAGCTGCTTTCTGTCTTTAAGCCCCTGGGGACACCTAAAGCCATAGCTTCCACACAGGTTCTGAAGCATGAATTTGTCATGGCCACAGTACCCAAGAAACTGACGCCATGGTTACTCAGGGCAGGACTGTGAGCCTTAGAAGGACCTTAGAGGGTATTTCTTGTCCATTCCCTTGATCCCCAGATTGTCACCATCCTAGGGGCTATTTCCTTAGCCAAGAAATCCCAGGTCAAGAGTCTATTCCTCTGAAAAGTCTTCTGTCCCCTCCTCAAGAGCTGATCTCCCCATCTTTAGCTCCCTGACATTTTTNGGCTATCACTTAAAATTGAAGGAGAGATAAAGACCTTCTCAGAAAAGAATAAACTTAAGGAATTCATTACCACCAAGTCAGCATTGCAGGAAATGCTAAAAGGGCTTTTTTAAACAGAAGAAAGGGGAAAACAAGCTAACCCAGAAAGATCAGAAATACAAATAACAAAATGGCAATAAAAACGCACCTATCAATAATCACTTTAAATGTGAATGGGCTAAATGCTCAAATAAAAAAACATTGAGTGGCTGAGTGGATAAGAAAGCAGGACCCATGCATATGCTGTTTACAAGAGACTCATCTCAGATCAAGACACACACAGACTGAAAGTAAAGGGATGGAATAAGATATTTCACACAACTGGAAATGAGAAAAAAGCTGAAGTAGCAATACTTATTTCAGACAAAATAGACTTTAAAATGAAGACTACAATAAAAAACAAAGAAGGGCACTGCATAATAATAAAGGGATTGATTCAACAAGAGGACATACCCTAGTAAACATCTATGCACCCAACATAGGAACTCATAAATGTATAAAACAGATTTTGACAGACATAAAGACAGAGATCAACAGTAACACTATTGTAGTACGGGACTTCAGCACCCTGTTGTCACCAATAGACAGATCCTCCAGACAGAAAATCAACACAATAACAGTGGCCTTAAATGACACTTTAGACCAGCCAGATTTAATTGATATTTTTAGAGCATTATCCCAAAGCAACAGAATATACATTCTTCTCGAGTCACATGGAACATTTTCCAAGATAGACCACATGTTAGGACACAAAACAAGTCTCAATAAATTTAAGAAGATTGAAATCATATCAAGCGTCTTCTCTGACCACAATGCTATGAAACTAGAAATCAATTATAAGAAACACAGAAAGCATACAAATACATAGAGGCTGAATAACATGCTACTAAATAGCGAATGGGTCAAAAATGAGATCAAAGAAGAAATCAAAAGCTATCTTAAGACAAACGAAAATGCAAACACAACAACCCAAAATCTATGGGATGCAGTGAAAACAGTCCCACAAGGGAAGTTCATAGCAATGCAGGCTTACCTAAAGAAACAAGAACAATCTCAAATCAACAGAGTATCTTTTCACCTAAGGGAACTGGAAAAAGAACAGCAAAACAAGCCTAAAAGGAGTACAAGGAAGGAAATAATAAAGACCAGAGCAGAAATAAATGAAATAGAGACCAAAAAAAACAATACGAAAGATCAATGAAACCAAGAGCTGGTTTTTTGAAAAGATAAACAAAATAGACAAACCCTTATCCAGACTCACCAAGAAAAAGAGAGGGAGGACCCAAATTAATAAAATCAGAAATTAAAAAGAAGTGACAACAGATACCACAGAAATACAGAAAATTGTAAGAAAATACTACAAGCAACTATATACCAACAAATTTGACAATCTGGAAGAAATGGATAAACTTCTAGAAGCATACAATCTACCAAATCTGAACCAAGAAGAAATAGAAACTCTGAGCACACTGATTATTGCCAAAGAAATTGAATCAGTAGTCAACAAGCTTCCAACAAACAAAAGTCCTGGACCAGATGGCTTCACAGGTGAATTTTACAAAACATTCAAAAAAGAATTAATACCTATTCTCCTCAAACTATTCCAAAAAATACAGAAGAAGGGAAGGCTCCCAAGCACATTTTATGAGGCCACTATTACTCTGACCCTAAAATCAGACAAAGGTATTATAAAAAAAGAAAACTAAAGGCTGATATCCCTAATGAACATAGATGGAAAAATCCTCAAAAAATACTAGCAAACCGAATTCAGTGTCACATTAACAAGATCATACACCACGATCAAGTGAGATTCATTCCTGGTATGCAAGGTTGGTTCAATATCCGCAAATCAATTAACATAATACATCACATTAACAAAATGAAAAATAAAATTCATATGATCATATCAATAGATGCAGAAAAAGCATTTGACAAAATTCAGCAGCCATTTATGATAAAAACTCTTAGCAAAGTGGGATTAGTGAGATCATATCTCAACATTAGTGGGATCATAAAGGCCATATATGATAAGCCCACAGCAAACATCATACTCAATGGGGAAAGGCTAAAAGCTTTCCCCTTAAGATCAGGAACAAGACAAGACTGCCCACTTTCACCAATTCTATTCAACATAGCTCTGGAAGTTCTAGCCACAGCAATCAGACAAGAAAATAAAATAAAAGGTATCCAAATTGGAAAGCAGGAAGTAAAATTGTCATTATATGCAGATGACATGATACTATATAGAGAGAATCCCAAAGACTCCACCAAAAAACTGTTAGAACTCATAAATGAATTTAGTAAGGTAATAGAATACAAAATTAATATTCAGAAATCAGTTGCATTTGTATACACCAATAATAAACTATTAGAAGAAGAAATCAGGAAATCAATCCCTTTTACAATTGCTTCAAAAACAATAACATATCTAGGAATAAATTTAACCAAAGAAGTAAAAGACCTGTACTCAGAAAATTCTAAGACACTGAAGAGAGAAATCAAAGAAGATACAAATAAATGGAAATACATACCATATTCATGGATAGAAAGAATTAATATAGTTAAAATGTCAATACTACCTAAGGCAACATATAGATTCAATGCAATTCCTATCAAACTACCAAGAACATTTTTCTCAGAAATAGAACAGATTATCCGAAAATTTATATGGTGCCATTAAAGACCCTGAATAGCCACAGCAATCTTGAGAAATAAGAACAAAGTGGGAGGTATCACGCTACCCAACATCAAATCATACTACAAGGCTATAATAATTAAAACAGTATGGTACTGGCATAAAAACAGACACATAGACCAGTGGAACAGAATAGAGAGCCCAGAAATAAACCCATCCATATACGGTCATTTTATCTATGACAATGGAAGCAAGAATTTACATTGCAGTAAAGATAGTCTCTGTAATAAATGGTGCTGGGAAAATTGGACTGACACGTGCAAAAAAAAGGAAAATGGACCACCTACTTACACC